CTCTGCCACTCACTCCCTGGATTTCCTGAGAGCCAGCCCTCTTTGGGACTCAGTTTCCCCATCTAGAAAGTGAGTGACACTGGAGTCCAGGTCTAAAACATCTTCCTCCTCAGACCAAGCTGCCAGTTTTCCCACAGCAGGCACGATGGCCAGAAACACACAGCAGGACCTTGTCGATTCTGTATCAGCGGGAGAAGAAAGGTGGAGAAACCACCTCCGGCCAAACTCGTTAACAGTTGTTTCATTAATCACAGTTTGTGTTTCAAATCCAAAGACAATCTGTCCAATTAACATTAAAGTTCTGGCAGCCATGAAGGGACCTTTAGGAAAAGGCAATTTGACACAATTGCTAATAATGCTCCCATTTAGGAAAGTAGCTTCCAAACACAGCATTCTCCTAGTGACAGCTGGAGACCTGTCTAAAGGAGGAAGGTAGGCTTCCAGCACCTCCACCATTTGACCCTGTCTCTCCCTACAACTTCATCTCCCTGGGAGCCTGTTACACGCCAGCTGTCCTAGCAGGACAGTCTTCCAGATTCGCCACTGTCATTCACATCTCTGTGTCTGTGTCTGGGCTCACGTGTCTCCCCAGGTGCTCTGTGGTCTTGTCTAGCTCCTCCATATCACTTTCAGTGCCCTACTTACTTCAACAAATCAAACAGTGTGTTGAGTCTTGGGTTTTCATCTCACTTCCACTACTTACTAAGTTGGCCATGTTTTATGCTCTTATTTTCAAGTAATACATACACATAGCCCAAAACATTCAAACGGTACAAAGAATTTTATAGCAAAACCTTAATCTTTTCCCCTTCTTAACTTCCAGGGTTCTACTTGGATGTAACCTTGCAATTTTTTCCCCCTGAAAATGTCTATATGAATGTATAAGTTAATGAATGAATAAATGCATAAATAAGTAAGCAAACTCCTCACAACAAATAATAATATATTATGCACACAATTTTACACCTGGGTGAACAATATATCTTGGAGCTTGTTCCTTATGAGTGCACAAAGAGTTTACCACAGTCCTTATGACTTTGGACAAATAGACTGACCTCTCTGAATCGCAGTGTTGTCAGTTATGATATGACCCAAGCATGACACCTGGGGGCCTGCTTTGAGTCCATACCTACTCCCAGGATATATAGCCCTTGGCCATTTTATTGAATTGTCTGTTAGTTTTTTATGCAATGCTGGCCAACGGTTATTGACATTTATGGGAAAATGACTTGTTTATAAGGAACACTGTGCTAGTAACTTGAGACTAGTACCTGCTAGGTAGAAGGTAGCTAATGTGAAATTCCTCTTCCTCTTCTCTGAAATAGCATAGCAGACACAGGCTAAAATTCACTACAGAGTATTTAACTTCATGTAGTTTTATTTACCAAACTGTGGGGTGTGTGTGTGTGTGTGTGTGTGTGTGTGTGTGTGTCTGTGCTTACATGTTACATCTCAGCCCTGGTTCACCAACAGCCTGAAGACTCTGCTTAGAATAAGCCCTAAGAAAGATGATAAAGTCACTCAAGTGAACTTTCTCCAGCCCACCCAAGGCACCAGATTCAGGAGATTTGGTTGAGGTTCCCAGTTGTGTCAATTACTTTGAGCAGCCTGTGACTTTTCTCAGGCTTTTGTCAGTCATCTGCATGACAGGAGAAAGTGATTTTTCTTGGGTAGGATAAGCCAGATGCTGCACATGAAGCGCTGTATATGAGGGGCGCCTTTAACAGTGAGAACATTATGGCGGGGACCCTGCCTCTGAGCTTGATATCATCAACCCCCTACATCACCATTCTTGCCTGGCTGCTTTCCCTGCTTCTAACACATTCCCCAAACAGGGACCAGGTAACAGAAAATTCCAGGCAGAGTAACAACAAAGATTCAGGCAGAAGCACAGCTTTTGCTTTTGAGCTCTGCCCATTTATATTCATATTCATAACAACCCGTCCTGTTGTTAGGGATTTGGAGAGCAGGTGTGGGGCAGAAGCAAGCAAGGATCAGACAGTCTCAAGAGCCTAGGAAAAGACTAAAGGTCATGGTGGATCCTCATTCCTTGAGTCAGTACTGTTTAATCTAGAAGGCTACTGTTCCAGGAATACTTTGCTGGTTGGTAACAACAACCTATTTTACCAATAGTGGTAATTTCAGTGCAAAGCGAGGTGTTGGGGAAGGAGGGGGACTGGTGTAATTCTGAGACTGCCTAGGTATCTATGGCTCACCCAAAACATCTTAAATGCTGAACGTGAAGCTAATGATATATTTTCTGTCCTGAATGGGAAAGGCCTAGGTGTGTGTGTGTAGGGTGGGGGAGGAAGTCCTTTGGGAGAATTACATATGAGGAACAGAGAAGAGATCAATCTGGAAGCCCCAAGCACTGCAAACTTCCAGAGCTGGCTTTCTCAGAGGGTAGGGCATCCCGTCGCTTCCTGGTAATTACCAGCTGCAACTGCGCTCAGCAGGCTGAGATGGCAGGTGATGGCGCCTCCCTCACCCACCCTGCTCCTCCTCCAGACTGACTCTCCTTGGGTGCCCTTGTCATTTTTCCTGCAGATTCTTGCTGGTCCTGGTGAGGCAGCAGATACAACAGGGGTGTCCTGTTGATTCCTTTTCTCTTTTCCCCACAGAATCCTTGAAATACAACTAGGGGAGGGAGTCAGAGGAAATGAAGGGGTCCTTAGATACCAGGGGAGGAGATGACCTTTGAAACCATCTTTTCTGGGTGACACCTGAGCCATGCAAGCCTGCAATTTCCTCTATGAGTGTGCAGCCGCATCACACAAGTCCCTAATGACAGTGTGGGCGATGGATGGTGACAGGGCAGTTGAAGTTTAAAATACATGCCAAGGAGATATTAAAAGCCATATAACTACCTTGAAGTGAGGAAAACAGGCAGGAGAGAGGGGGGAGAGGGGGCTGAAGTTCTGCCCGTTGTCTGTTAGGGTGATGGAGATATCTTTTCTTCATCTTTCTGATTCTTTGTAACGCCTTCAATATTTCACCTCTTATTTCTGTTCCCGAAGTCACTGTCCTAGCCTAGACGTCCAATTACCTTTCTTTTTGACAATTACAGTAATAGACTCCCTGCCCCCAGGCTCCGCCACTTCCAGTCTACCCTGCAGATGTCACCAGATTGAACTTCCTAAAATATCACTTTGCACGTGTCAGTTTTTTTGCTTAAAAACTTCAATGACTCTCCATTGTCTGCAAATTAAAGACTAAAAAATCTTACTCTGGAGACGAATGCTGCCAAAATTCCAGACATCCTGTGTCCAGTAGGAAGGCTGGGGCAAGACCTAACTCATCTTTCTGTCCTCTAACTCATGTGAACATCAGGAGGGAAAGGATTTATTCTTTGGCACTAATGATAATAAGCACTCAAATGATATTTGTTGCGTGAAAACATTAATTAACTCATTAAGGGAGTATGGAATACTAAATGATAGGCGCGTAATAAATCTTTCTTGAAGGAAGGGATGGAGGGAAACATCTGGGGAAGAAAGATCATGTTATATTGCAATGGATTCAGAGTGTAGATAGAGGCCAGCTGCCTCCGCGGTCTCTGGACTCAGAACAGGTCAGTTGGAACTCGCAGAGGAAGTTGTGGATGGGGGAATTAAAGCAGAGGTCATAGGTGACCGGAAGTTCAGACCAGGTATTGGGAGTGGATGGTCAGAGCAAGGGGTGGGCCTCGGGAGCCCATTTGAGAGGACCAGGAGGAGAGATCCGGCTGGCTGAGGAGCCAGTGACGGAGAACTTGCACATCAACTAGGATTTGCTAGGCTATTTTAAAAGCCATGATGACACACTTACTTTATGTGAGTGGCACTTCACTTTGGATGTCATAAATGTTCTTGAGACTTGGATGAAATCTGAGGATCTGTTTGTCAGAAAAATAAATAAATCCATATGATTTTATACACTCTTACTAGGATTGAGATAGTTTCATGAAGCCAATCCCCAGACTAAGAAAACCTGTTTTATATTGTACAGATATCTCAAATTTTCATCAGTCTGGCTTATTTTTTTGGTCATTCATCAATACACTGAATCCTTGCAACTGTTTAAAATTGGTAACCATTATTTTGGTTTTGAGAAATCTAAGCCTCCGTGAGATATGTCATGCCCAGATGAGATATGGCAATATATTTACGGATAAAATCAGATATTTTGGTTTCAAGTTGACTTTTTTTTCCCTACCAAAACAAGCTGTGCAAATATTAATTTCTGCATGGACCAGAAAGCCCTTTGACAGATATTCACTGAGTACCTGTTTTATGTTAGGCTTTGCCTTAGACACGTCAGCTACATCACTGAGCAGTAACAGAGCAACATTCCACATGCACCTTCACATGCAAAATCAAGGTCAGTACTTTCCCATTCTGAAAACCAGAACTGGAAAAGGTCGTGGTCATAAAGTGCTCAGGCAATCCAAGCTTCATGAAAAGCCATGATCCGGTGGGCATCATCCTAGTGACCAGCTGTCAAGGTAGATTTTATTAACATTGAACATGCCTCTCACCTTTCATCTCTAACCAATCATGAAGTTGATTAATTTTCATTTATTTTTTCTTTCTGTGATTTAGAATCTTTGGTTTGAAATTCTTCTATTTTCTCAGCTTACCAGTATAAATAAGACCTCTTTCTAACTCATGTTGGCTCAGGAAAGGACAGTAAAAACCAGACTGAGAAGTGGGAGCCCCTGGCCCTTCTACCAGCTTTGCCACTAGGGTATTCTAATATTTTTCCTGGGCCTCAGTTTATTATGTCTCTGTGCTCCTTCTTGGTCCTGACCTGTGAGTGGCTTTTGGTGCTGAGAGTGTTAAGCCTGTCTGAGAGGAGATCTTTCTAATTGCAAGGTGGTAAGACACAGATGGTGAGAGAAAACTCGCCCCCACAATGAGCCCTGCCCTCTCTAGCTTGGAAGCTGAACAGTTCTCAGGTGAGTGGGAGTGTGGAAAATAGGCAAGGCGAGAGGGAAGAAGAAAGCTCAGTTTCTCAGCAGAAAAGGGGCAGGGCAGATCAGCAGGTTGGAGCAGTGAACACGGAATGTCCGGCAAGGCTTCTTCTGAAAAGGTCAGTGCTCTGCCGAGCCAGGGCTGCCACACAGTGGCCTTTTAAAAAGTAGATAGCTGGAGAAGCTGCCACTGAGCCCACAAGGGTGGGACAAACTCAGATTCCTGTTACCTTCCATTAGAAAGGGACCTGGTTATACCTGGTCCATATCCCTTCTCCTACGTTGCAGTTTTTAGGGACACTGGGGATGGGATTGGTGACCAAGATCACAGAGATTGCAGTCAGCAGAGCCAGGACTGGGTCCTCGGACTTTGGGACTTTGAAGGCACTTCTCATTGTTGCTTGAATAAGAGCAAACTTCTCTATCTTTCTGCTTGCTTATTGCCTCCTTTAGGAAAATCACCAGCTTTCTTCAATCTGCCACTTGCTTAGTATCTTAGTATTGAAACAGCTAATAAAAAAAGACCAACCTCTGGCAAATATAATCAAGAAAAGAAAAGAGGCCCAGATGAAAACAGAAATGAGACTGTGATTATAACAATGAATCAAAAAGATTAAAAAAATATCAAGGTGGGACAGTATATGTACTTCAGTAGCAGATTTGTTTGAAATGATCAATTAAACAGATGATAGTCTATATAGTCATAAACTAATGCAGTTGATACAAAAAATGTGGATTGGATCAGCAAGCAAGGAACGATCTGAGAATGAGAAATGTATTAAAGGATAATCCTTCCACTCCCAAAAGGGACCAACCTCTGGCTTAGTATCTTAGAATAAATGATGTGAGTAAGGCCACTATCCCCTCTTAACAGCATGAATCTGGGACCGAGAAGGTGTGACTCATGAAACTCCTTTTGGTATGTTCAGGAGTAGATGCCAGGTATTTATTTAGTGTTGTTTTGCAAATGGTTTAGTGTTTATAAGGTTCACCAAATTATATCTTTGGGTTGAATTTTTAATTTAAATATGCTTTCCTTCATTTTCTCTTTTCTTTGTTCTCTACCTGGTCAGAGTTCTCTAATGGAAAGATTAAAAGCTTTCCTCATTTCTTAGACCAGAAATATCTCATGTGATCCCCAGTGCAGCTTTTGGGCACCAGCCCTTCCAATGCCTACCCTTCTTGACTGATTTATACCCCACATCTCTCTTCCTTTGCCAATCTTACCTTGATCTATTGAAACAGTTATTGGCTAAAACAATCCAGACAGGTCTACTTGCCTTTGTCCTTGAGGAAAAAGTGGCCTTGGGCAAGCTGTTTAACTTGTCTGTTCTCAGTGGGATCTTCTGAAAAATGGAGATAAACTCCCAATTTCTAGGTTATTGCAAGGTTAAATAAAAATAGTATCTTTTGTGTATCCACTGCCAAAGCAAGCACTTTACGCATCTGATTTCATTTGTTTACCATGATTTTCTTAGTATTCCCCCCATTTCAAAACTGAAAAAATGGTCAGAGAAATCCCTAAATGACTAGATAACCAAGATCTGAATACTCATCTGTCTAACTCATAGAACTCTCTCCCTTTCTAGTACAACATGTGAATTTACTGTGGAGCTTTGGTCTTCAACTAGGGTGCTTTGGCCTCTCCAAGGATATTTGACAGCTTCTGGAGACAATATAGTTGTTACACTTTGGTGGGCGGCACTATTGGCACCTAGAGGATAGAGGCCAAGGATAGTGCAAAGTATCTTACAATACACAGGTCATACCTCCAAAAGAAAGAATTACCTGGCCCCAAATATCAATCATGCCAAGGTTGAGAAACACTGCTCTGTTGAATTCCATTGCATGAATTGTCCATAATATATTCTTGTAGATAGACATGATATGGTGCTTGCAAAGGTCAAGTACATAGTCAATACTCCACTATTAACAGCTATCTTCATTATCACTGCTACTCCTAGATCCATTTCCTACTTTGTCTTCTCTTCTTTTGCCTTCATACCAGATATTTCCAGATGAAGTAACATTTCCCTCTTCTCTTTCTAAAGCTAGATATAAGTACAGGTAGTCAGTGTAGCTAGGTAAATCAGGTCTGATGGAGAAAATGGAGTCTGATTTGAGCCTGGGAAATTGGAAACAGTCCCTGGGAGAACGGAATGTTCATGTCTCCAAAGCCCTTTGATACTCCCCCTCCCAAAAAGGTTGTTAATTAAGCAACTCCTGAGCAGATGGGGAGCTGCTAATTTACGCCCTCTGGGCTGCAGCTTCTGTCCTGGCTAGCACCCCACCTAGGCCCTCCCAGCCCACCTTCTCACCCCCTGGCCAGTTCACCACATCCCCCAGTCACTATGCAGGATGAGGGGAAGTGAACAGGTAAGGAGAAGAATGCAGGAGAACAAGGGAAACTTTAGCCATATTAAAGGGACAGCATTTCCTCATCCCAGGGATTCCACCTTTGGGTCCCCTTCTTCCACCCAGGAGAAGTCTGTTGTACTATCCCTTAATAAAGCTTCTTACTTTCTACTCCTTGCTTGCCTTGGCATCTTCTCTGGTGTTATACTTGAACATTGGAGGAGGAAGGACTTGTCACAGTAACTGCTGGGAGCCATTAGCCAAGTAGGTATGACAATTTCCTTGCCAGCGCACCCCATGTTAATTGTGGTAGTGCTGGCATATCTTTGCTGATGGTGTCACCAGTGATGCAATTTTTCCCAAGGAGCCGTCAATTGGCTTGGTGTTGTGGCATTTCTGTATCCTCCTCCCTTCTGCTAGTGATGGTCTAAAATTTGGGGGCCAATGGCTATATGCTGGACTGGTAGTCAGTGACGGGTATGATCCAATTGCAGTGGCATCAACCTAAGACAGGAGGCTGACGCCTAAAGGTCAGTTTTCCGATGACGGGTAAGAACCATATGTTGAATTGGACAACCTACCAGGCACGGTCCTTAAGCCACATTAACCTCACTCCCCCACTGGCACCAAGGCCAAATTTGGGGGCCAACAGAGGTGAGGCAAAGAACCTCACGCCCCCACTGGCGCATAGACCTATCCACAAGTATGGCTGTATGCTGGACCGGTAGTCAGTGACTGGTATGATCCAATTGCAGTGGTATCAACCTAAGACAGGAGGCTGACGCCTAAAGGTCAGTTTTTCCCATGACGGGTAAGAACCATATGTTGAATTGGACAACCTACCAGGCACGGTCCTTAAGCCACATTGCTTGTTGTTTAATTAATCAGAAGGAGGGAGATGCTGGGAGCCATTAGCCAAGTAGGTATGACAATTTCCTTGCCAGCGTACCCCATGTTGCTTAGTGGAAGGACTCGGGGAAATAGGACATTTTGCAGTGACATTGCATGTAGGTGACCTTGCTCAAGGACCAGGGCGGATTAGGGTGTTCCCGGTTTAGGATAATTGGGTTTAGGGCGTTCCAGTTTAGGGCGTTCCAGGTTTAAGATTATTCCTGCTGGGAATAGGGCATATCCTGCTGCCTGAGTTCCCCTTGAGTTCTCACGGGATTCAGACAGTATTTTTTGGGAGATGGAAGCCCAGTGGAGGTGGATTTTGGGCAGAGAACGTGGATTTCCCCAGAACGTGTTTGTAAAGTGCCGGTGACAGTTCGGGAATAAAGAGTTGCTGTTTGAATCTACAAGCTGTGTGGTGGCTCATGATTGTGTGCCCAGCTAGACTGCGGCATTTGTGCCCAGCCAGACTGTGGCAAGTAACCGGCGGTATCATTTCCATGACCCTTTACTTAGTGTTTGATATTCATTATTTATTTTTTTGGTATATATACATCCCTTGTCTTCTTTAATAAGCTGACAGTTTCCAAAGGAAAGCAGTTGTGTTTTAATTTAATTTAAATATGCTCTCGCTATGAAACAGTACAGCGCCTGGTCCCTGAATCTCAGAAACTAAATCATTTTGTGAGAAAAGGTGAGCAGGGAATATTTTGCTTGAAGAAATAGGATCAGAGTGCCCAAGTATTTAAGGCCCTATGAATTATAAATGATGGAGTCGCACTAGATCTCACCTCAGAGTCCAGAACTAGCTGGCTTAGCTGTTATTTATGCAAACACCTGTCAATCACTGGAATGGTAGCCCATTCTAATAGAGAGACATTTCCAAGAGTACCTTTGAATTCATGAAGCAAAACAGATAAGGAAATTGGTTCTAATGTGTATCTCATCCAGAGATGCCTATTGTAGGGCACACACAGAATAATAGGAGAGAGATTACTAGAAGGCCAATCTGCTGCAGAAAACTCCTGGCAAAGAATTCAGGCACCTGGAAATGAGACCTGGACTTGAATTAGCAGATTGGACAAGTTATGGCATGTCTTTGCTCCTCGCTTTCCTTATCTGTCATATGGAGACATGCTGACCATCCTACTAGCACACAGGTGGCTTGAGGAAATGTATGTCAAATACATCAATCCTTGCCATTTATAGTGGTTATGTTCTATAAAGTGCTGGAATTAGCAGATATTGAACCAGTGCTCCTATGAAAAATATAAGATCAGGTTCCAATGAGCTCTGGCCACCACATTTTTATTAAATAATTAGCATATAGCCTTGTTTTATGTGTGCATTTGTTTAAAGACACCTTATTTCATATACGCTGCCAATTCATTAACATTGAACTCAATAGTCAACCACACTGTAACTCAGGTGTGAACAAAGCTTATCTAACACTCTTTTTTTTTACCCCTATGGAGCATATTATAACTTTCTTTCATTTAAGAACACTAGATAGCACTTTCTACCATATTTGGGGAATATTTTTATCAGTGAAATCACCACCAACAACAAAATATGTCACCAAAAAAATGCAAGAAATGTAGTACTAAATACACCAGGAAAAGGCCACCTGTTTACAGAATGAGGGTGCAACAAAAGGATAGAGTGACGCCTGGTTCTGTCTTAGCTGGAAACGTGTACCTGGGAATACTCAAATTCTTCACTGTTATGCACATGTCTGTGAATGACCACACAATTGTGTTAGCACAGATTTTGGGGTTGCAAATAAATTTTAGCAAGTAGGCAAATTAGCAAACATGGAGTAATGAACATTGAAAGTACATAACTTAGCTCATTGGTAAGTCGAGTCTAATGG